TGATGGTTGCCCCGATGGCAGTGATAATTGGGGGAAGGTGGGTTGTTGATTTATTGGTTGTAGAGACAGAGAGAGGGTTGCCAATTGTGGCAGAAGGGTGGTGAGAGAAAGGGACAATGAGGTTGTTGCTTAGAGAAAGAGATAGGGAAGAGGGGGTTGCTGATGGAGAGAGATGATGAAGGAGAGTGAGAGGGAGCAATGACATTGCTGAGTGAGAGAGAGGCAAGGTATAATTTTGCTGAGATGGTGGGAACAGAGATATATTGCTAACTGGTGTGAGTGGGCGTGAGAAGTTCAAGCGGAACTCATAACACGTGGCCTATTTTGATGTTTAACGGTTGAGATTTTGAGGATATTAAAGTCGTTTTATCACTTTTGTTTACGGTGTTAATTGTGCATATCAGTCCAAAACTACAAGGGAGTAATGTGCTGATTTTCAAATGATAGGGGGGTCATATGCAAAATACCCAAAACACAAGGGAATAAACTAGATTTTGCCCTAAAAGTAATTACCATAATAGTGGCAATATTCGCAAAAGTGATACATAGCGGTACGGTACCATTTTTTTCCAATCCCATAGACTCGTCCCCAAGTCTAGAAGACTATGGTACACACAAAAAAATTCGAGACCGTCCCTCCAATTTTTGTTACTTTTGTGATTATTTTTACAATTTTTGTGGATATTTTTATAACAAAAATTTATTGCTTTTATGGGTGATTTAAAATTTTTGTGAGTTTTTTTATAACTTTTGTGGGATATTTTTACCACTTATTTGGTAATTATTTTTACCACTTTTATGATACTTTGCAATCGATTTTAAGATCCTATAAAAAAAATTATAAAAATGTCCACCAAAATTATAAACAACAATACCGTACGGAATTTTTTTTGGGGTACAGTAGACTACTTCATTATCTATATAATAAAATACAATATAATTTAAATCTCAAAAGTTAAACAAAATGATTTTTACTATTTGCGGTTGAGATCTCTTTAAATTTTATTTTAAAGTTAATCTGACGGTTAATATTAACACTTTAAATTTAATATAAAAAATAAGGTTCTAACGGTGTGTTTAGGTGACTTTTTAAAAATGTTTTTAATACTTATAACTTTTTATAAATACTTTAAAAAATATATATAGTGTTTAAAAATCGTCTCACCAACACCTCTACCACCACCAACTCCACTACCACCATCGTCACCTCACCACTACCACTGCTGCCACTCTACCATACCCATCGCTTCATTACCACTGTCACTGCCACCACTACTGTCACCTCACCATTACTTCTTCCACAGCAACCATCGCCCCACCACCTCCACTATCGTAACCCTAGCACCACCACCCCTTTAGTGCCCTACCATCACTACCTTTGCCGCCACCTGATAACTATTGCCACTATCCTACCATCACCCCTACCACACCACCCTCACTGTCCCCCCTCCCCTAACCACCATCACCAATGTCACCTATAACTGTCATCATTACAATCGGTTGTTATCATCCATCATAATTATCATCATCTCCCACCATCACCACTGTCGCCTACCATCATTGCCACTATTTGTCCTCATTGTAACCAGTATTTAAATTTATTTATTTCTCCTCTATTTTTGTAATTTAATTTTAAATGTGAATACAAATATGTTTATTATTAACTATTTTTTTTATTACTCAATGTCTTTAGACAGGAAAAATAACTAGTTGTTAAATAAGGATCCTCTAACTTTTTCTTTCTCCATGGAAGAAACTTTTCTATAAGAACCGACTGTAACTTTCCTTTTAATAACGAATGAAACTAAAGAGTCCATAAACAAACACACAAGTCTTTACAAAAGACTTCACAAATACCAATGGGGCTTCAGCCCAACGATGTCCACTACTATGTCGAGGCTTTAATTTTTTGAAACTAAGGGTTCAAATCTTTTGAGTGTTAAAAAGCATGATTAATTGGTAAGACGGATCTCATTATTTGGACAATCGTATTTAAGTCTTTGGTGTGAGTTTGAATCCCCACTAAAATACAAGTTCTGATTTAACTGATATATGAATATAGAGACCGGTTTTTGCACCCAAAATTTGCTCTCGATTCTATTCAAACTCACATAAAACTTGTCTTTACTCTCCGGGGACGGACTAAGAATTTCTCCCGTTACCACATAAAAACAAAAAAGAAAAGATTTTGGAAGTATGTTAATATGTTTATTTTTAACAGAATCTCTGCAATGACGAAATACTTTTTAATTGGACAAACTGTTTGGTCAAGCATTTATATTTGCAATCAATGGTAATGTGAAAGTGGTTTATCTTGAATTAGCACTAGGAATTGACAAACCTTAAACAATTCTAGTAGACTAGTACAGCATGTTAATATATGCTAATTCTTAATGTTGCTTTTTGCATTGGTTTTGGTTGGGGTGGGGTTTTTTTGTTTTGGTGGGGGGGTAGAGAGAGAGAGAGGGAGAGAGGGAGGGAGAGATGGGTCATCAAATATGTTACTTAATATATACTTATAGCTTTTACCCATTATTTGTTGAATCTGAAATGAAATCATCCTTTCTTACATTGAATCAACAACCCCCCCCCCCCCCCCCCCCCCCCCCCCCCCCTCTTTGT